AAGAATCTGTTCAGCAGCAGCGCTGTGGTCATGACTCGTTTTAAATCTGGGCTGAGAATGAACAGTCAGTGTTCTTAGGAAGGACCTGTCATACTGAGTGGCAACGGTCAGGCCGACTGTTCAACCAGACACATTGTTGTTATCCTTCACGCACTGGCTCACAGGTGGCTGGTGCTGTTTCTCACCATGAGGTGACGTTTTTAGAAACACAACATCAGTTCCTTCACTCTCAGTCTGTGCTGCATCCACCTGGAGTAAGAAAACATGAGCCACAGAACATCTGAGCCTCTGAGGCCAAACTGATTGTGACCGACTCTTCTGTCAAACAGCTGCTGTGTGATGACTAGACCTCTGCTGTGTTTGGGCCCGTGGATCTTTTATTCGTCCTGGGCAGCAGCAGCTAACGAAGGCAGATCATTCAGCTTCCCCGTGAAGTAAAGGAACTCTCCACAGAACAGCAGCAGGTCAGCCGGGCGTCGTGCGGGCCGAGGCCTCTCACGCTTCACTGGATCTGCATCAGCCGCTGAAAAACAAAGACTGAGAGGAAAAGCGTCTGGGAAGGAAACTCTGTTGACTTCATTCGCACCGAGGCAACTTTATTTGAGATTGGAAAACTCTGTGACGGGGGACTCCCTCCAGAAACTACTACCAGATGTCTGCACCATCGCGCTGCTTTTGAAGTGTCCCTGTGCGCTGGTGTGCTCGTGAGCGTGAGTGCGTGTAACCCCGGGCGCTGTGATCCAGACACACGTGACTATGTCAAAGCGGTCTGTGAGTGTGGGAGCAGACGTGAGGGTGGAGGCCAGTGTGGAGCTGGAAACAATTAAGCAGCCTTTAATCTACTGTTGTAATCAATAAATGATTATAATTAAAGCGCTAATCTTCTATATCTGCTTCCAGCATCGCTGCTGGTTTTGCCTCGTGTTATAATTTACAAGATGGATGTTTGCTTGATTTATGTCATTGTTATGTGTTTCTTGTTGCTTGCTGGGTGGTGTCTGTGGAGTTTCTCCGTGTCCACCCTCCGACCGAGACCCGGTGCTCCTGATAGAGGACAGGAAGGATCTGATCAGCTGCAGTTCCCTTTAGCAACACTTTCTTTAGTGTACAGCACGAACGTTTTTAAAAGTAGGTGTTTGTTCTTTAGAAGATTCATGTTGATGAGGACTGGAAATAAAACCCTCTCACGCAGGTTTACTGACACACTGCTGGTGATACTTAGTGCACCAGAGCGGCCTCAGTAAGTGATGATGCTGGATACGCCTGAAATACACCAGCTATTCTTCTCTGTGAAGACTGAAACACTGCCAGGTGGTGTGTGCTGCTGGGATCATGTTTACACACACACACACACACACACAGAGACACACACACACACACACACACACACACACACACACACACACACACACACACACACACACACACACACACAGACACACAGACACACACACATCTGCCACTTCAGTGGAAAACAAGGACATGAATGTTCCCAGTATTTAGTCTGCGCCTGTCTATAAAAGGGGGCACTTCGTGTTTTGGCAGGACGATCTGGTGTTGCATCATCGGTCAGTGCAGATAATGTGATTAGGCAGTATTGATCCAGCATCATTATGATATATCAGCTCCTTTTGGCATCTTCTCCCCGACTCTGTGGGTGAAAGCCTCAATGAGCCAAGCTGCTGTGACGAAGTGTGTTTGAACCCAAACCACAGCATCCTGACACTAACCGGGTGGTTTACGGTGACTAAACTTTACCAGCACGTGGACAAAAAAAGAAAAAAATCCAAAGAGACACAAACCAGAGTGTGGTGCCTAACAAGCCTACCGTATGCCAGGCCATCCCTCCGGTCTGCGCAGACACTGGGGCTGTGGATGCCGTGCTGCAGCAGAGTGGGCCTCAACACGCACACAGGACCTGAATCATGTAAGCAGTTACAGTGTTTCAGCTTCGTGTGACTGAGGAGGAATGACAGTCTGGGCTCTCTGAGCAACATGTTAATGGAGTGTGTGTGCTGCAGTCCCAGCATGCTGTGTGCCTGCACAGCACGAGTCACGTCATGTATGTCACGTTATAGAAACAGCCGTGTTCAGAGAACACACGGTTTTAGACTACAATATGCTCATTTTTGATGAACACACTGTTGATTATTGCACCATCGTTACACGTGTACGAGTCTGTTAATCATTCGACTCTCAGCCGTGATAATGACGTTCCTGTGAAACCGCTGTAAATCTTTTAAAAGGTGGACGTTGCACCTTCAGTATAAAAGCGCTGCAGGACAAGGCGACAGCTGCCAGTAAGAGCGCTGTTGCCTCTTCTTTTAAATGTATTTATGTGTGAATCTGTAGCAGCAACAACAATGTTACACCACACAATAAAAGCATTATTTTCTTTCTTTCTATGAAGCTTTTATTCTGACATGAATGCACGAAAGAACTCCAACAGCTGCTCCGTCACCGACATGGCCTTTCTGCAGAAACCTCTGACCTCCAGCTCACTCCAGGCACAAAACATCAATACGGGAGCAAGAAAAGTGAGCGTGAGGCCACGGACGGTGTAACGAAAGAAGAGAAACAAGCTGCACGTTCAGGCGCGCTGCATGTTTGAGACAGAAGCGTTCAGTTCGTATTTCCCACCAGTGATTCTGCTCTCATTCTAAGGGAATCTCAAGTTCATTAATGTCAAATAACCAACAGTGCAGCCCTGCTCATCTGACCCCGACCCTGAAACAGTTAGCCCGGCTTTGTCTGGAGATCCAAACCTGTGACAGTCTACCTGACATCCTGCATACAGCTGGAGTCATCGTATCCCCCATCGGTCACTGAACTCAAGCTTCCCGTTGCTCTTTCTAGACATCACCCACTTTAATGAACATCTGGATATGAACTTTTAGTGCACATGCATGCTGGCCTGCATATGTGACGCTAGCCTTCAGCGCAGTGATCACATCTGCTGCTCATTTGAGCGTGGTGATTTCCAGGCTGCAGTGTCTGTTGAAGGAGCGAAGCACTGGACCATCACAGCATCCAGCCCTGTGTTTATCTCTGACTCTCAAATAAAAACCTCCCAGTTCCTGTCTGCTCAGACGCTCCAATCCACAATCTGCTTGGCTCCATTTGACTTTCCCCTGCTCCTCTTTTACCGCCAAGATGCGATGCCCCATCTGTTTATGGCCTAATGACAGATGTGGTCCTCAGGAGGCAGAGCGAGGGATGTGAGGAAATCAGCTGGGCCAAATTATTTAGCCACAAGCTGGAGAGTGGCCACAGAAGCTCATCTTGTCTTTTCCCTCGGGGTCTGAACACATGCTGACACAGCCTGTTTCATGCTCACCAACATTATACACTATCTGTTTGCATGACAAAGGATTTCTTTGTCCATGGCGCCACCTAGCGGCAAATGAGGGGAACTGAGCGGGCTGCTGCATGAGCTAAAATCATGTCAGCAGCAACCAGCGCTTATAAACAGCACTGATTCTGACAGCAATCACAAGACTACAGTCAATGAAGTCTAAGTGTGACAGTTACAGAGCATCTTATCTTGACTTTAAACAGGAAATGCATGTCCTGTCCTCTTCCTCCTGAGCGTCCACATTTTGTGCATCACTCCAGTCACATGCGCTCACCTGCTGCTGCCATAGATGCACCTGCTACGTTTTTCCACAAATATCTGATAAGCCAATCACATGGCAGCATTAGGATATACTGACTTAGCATGAAGAGATGCTAAAGTTCAAACTAGGAGAAAGTGATTAAGGTGGCTTTGAACATGGTGTGGTTATCGCTGGTACATGGACTGGTCTGAGAAATTCAGTAACTGGTGATGTACTGGGATCTTTCCACCCCAAAGTCATTGGGGTTTACAGAGAATGGTTTGAACAGAGGAGATATCCAGGAAGTAGCAGCTCTCTGATGCCAGAGGTTAGAGAAGGATGGCCAGAGTCCTTTGAGCTGACAGGAAGGCAGCAGTAACTCACGTAAACACACGTCATACTCCGAGTACAGCTGAGACCACAGGAGGTGCTGCTGTGGCAGCTGAGGGCAGGAAACTGAGTTAATAACATTGTTAGTAGCTGTGAATGGCAGCTGCTTGATTTCAGCACATTAGATAACCATGAGCTTTCCTCTGACCCACACGGCTTCATGTAAACGTGAGTTTGAGCTTTGTATTTGTGCACGTCACACACAACCCTGAACCAATCAAGTTATATATATAAACATATCTCCAAGTTGGGGTGGTGGTTAGCACTGTTGCTTCACAGCAGGGAGGTGCTGTGTGACTCCTCCACCTGCCTTTCTGTGGACTTTGCATGTTCCCCTGCGTCTGCTGCTCCCACAGTCTTAGGACACGCAGGGTTAGCTTGGTGACAGTGGGAAGAAAAACTCCCTTGAACCAGGCTGAGGGAGAAGCAGCCAGTGTGCTGTAGTATATGTGACACATTTCCCTGTCGAGTGTATTTGATCATGATGAGTACAAGCCAACATATTTGTGTATACATGCATCTTTAATACCTGCGGTTTTACAGACTTGTTTCATCTATAAACACCTTGTTGTGCGTTAGTGCGTCATGTTTGGTTGTTTGGGACTTTTGGACTCAGTTATTGGTTACCGTGGAGCGGCTGCAGAGCAGGTCACCTACTAATTGGAAGGTTGGTAGTTCGATCCCTGCCAAGCATCCTTGGGCAAGATCCTAACACCAAGCTGCTCTCTGATGCATCCATGGGAGTGTGAATGCTGTGCACAGCACGATATAAGAATCGGTCCATCGAGCATCTCTTCAATGATGGAACGACACGGGAGAAATAAAACGCCATGCTACAGTGCTGTCAACAATCCTATGCTGGTCACAAACGGTGCTTTCTAGAATAAGCTGGCCTGTTCAGCACCTGCTGTTGTGATCTGACACAGACCGATGCCGCCATGATGGCCCGGGCCAGCATGCAGGTCCTGTTGTTTCTCTGAATTCATGCAGGAAAAAAAGGTCAGCAAACACATCGTTAGTGCACTTTAAGTTTATTCATCACATGCAGAGCAGTTTAACAACATGGATACTGAGGACACGTTGTGTGTTATTGATCAGGATTTTAATCAGTGCTTGAGAGAGAACTGCATCTGTTCAATCAGCAGAAAAGAAATGCTGTCTACAGCAAGCTTTGCTTTCAAAGCTCTGTTATGGACTGAGAGACGCTTCTTATCTTCAGTAGCTGGGCGCTGCCCTCGTGTCGTTCTTCAGCCCAAGCCTTTGACACCAAACACATTTCATAGTAGTTATTTTCAGCCTGAAGCAGAGGATTTGATTTGCTGTTGAAGGCAGCGCTCCGTGAGAGCTGTGCTTCCAAACCATTTACAGGCTGACGTTACAATGACCCCGGCTGCATTTCTTTCAAATGAGTAACAGCCTGACATGGTACGTTTCTAGGAATCTAGATTTTGATTAACTTTTTACAGCGTGCGTATTTATGACAGCAGGCCAGCATCGTGAAGCCCGCTCACGTTTGGCCAAACGAGGGAGTGAACAGAGATTTGGATGAAGGCATGAACTATGAAATATTGGTTCTGAATTCTTGCTGAAGCTGTCAGACCAACAGGCAACACAGCAGGTGCTGATCTGCACGAGCGCTGACAGACGCCCCGTGCTCTTTAAAGCTGGGCAAGGTAACTGTGCCGGCTGGCAGCTGAAGACAGCAGCGAGGAGAAGCTAAAACACTGAAGGGTGATGTCAGCAGGCCGCACGTGCACACAGTTGATCCTTCATGTCATCAGGTGTGCGAGGAAGAAAAGAGGCGAGTTCTCGTGGTTCAGGCTATAACATGAAGCACTGCGACATGGAAATGTATTATGTCAGTGAGAGGAGGCATTACAGGAGCCAATCGAATGGTCGAGTCGCTTCTTACACACAACATAAACTAACCTCGGCATGAAACCGTCTGCTTGTTTTCTCCTCAATAAAAGATTCTCCAACCAGCTCACGGGTGGCTGTTGGGTTTGTGATGGAGGCTCCACCAGGAACTTCCTTGTAGTTTGGATGAAAATACCAACATTTGCTAACTAACTAACTAACTAACTAACTATCTTTGCAGCCAGTTTCACAGTAGCGCCTACTGGGCAGCTGGGTGTGGGATCCACATTTTCCCTGGCAAACGGGAGTTTGCAGAGCGACCTGTGTGACTCGGGCTTGCTGCTGCTGTTATTTTCAAATGGAATAGTTGCAAGTATGGAAACTATAAAGGGCGGAGCCACCATGTTACCCAGTCACAAAGACGCCGTCTGCTGGTGAATGTGACGAGAGGAGTGTACCTGCCTGAAACTGAGAGACGTCCCTGAGCCCACACATGAATGTTTGTACCACCTCCACATTAGCCCAGATAGATTTGACAACGCTCTGCGTCCACCCTGCGTTTTCACAGAGTAAAATGCGTCATTGTTTTAGAAAGTCTACGTTTGCGCTGTCCACACTGCGACGCAAAATGCTGCGTTTTCAAACCGCTGCGTTTTCCTTGAGCGAAAACGGCGTCTCAGTGTGGACGGGAGGCCAAAACAGAGAGAAAAGCATGCATCAGTGTGGACGTAGATCAGAGAGCACAGAGTGTGACACTCATCACCACCCAGTGGTCACTCAACAGAATCCAGCTGTGAAGCGCTTCTGCAGCAGTGTGAGGTCACAGATGTGCGTCCACTCTCTGTAGGTGATGTAACCTGAGCACGAGTCAGTGACAGTTGTGATTTGTGAATATGGTGTCTTTGTGAGATCAGCAGTGGTGTTAAAAACAACGACTGCTTCATCAGAGACCACCCAGAAGTTAAACGGTTCCCGAGACGTTTGGCTGATCATTAAGACCATTAATATTATTATTATTAAGAATGTGCTGCAGGTATTTACAGACACATAATCCAGTAACACTGCTAAAGAGAGGCCTGTGGCCTGACTCCCTTTCCAAGGATAAATCACAGTTAATAACTGCCAGACAGGGAAAAGAAACAATATAAAGAACTTGAAGGAATTCATACCAGCTTCCTGTGCCTCCTGTTAAAAATATTACGACCTGACAGGGCTCAGTGCGTCGCCTGTGGAGCAGATTTAATGGAATAAATGTCTCACGGCTATAAATAAGTGACCAGGATCAGCGTCTCCTGGAACTGCACCAGCAGGGAGCATCTGCAGAGTTTCACGCTGCAGCCCTGACAGCAGACTTGCTTGGTATTCCTCTTACGAGAAGCTTTCTTTCCTTTGCACGCCATGCCCCACTTCATCATTTCATACTTTGAGTCTGTGCTGCGCTGTCCCAGCAGATCCAGCGTTTGATCCAGAAACCATTAGCTGCTTCCAAAAGCAACATCTCGTCTTCCTGAGCGTCGTTTCCAGTTAAAAATAAACAGCCTTACACAGTCATGGATTGGAAGCACACTCTGCTCTGGAGGTAGACAGACTGTTCATGAAGCTGTTTAGGACTCAGATTAGTCGCTGGCAAACAAGTCCCCCACACATCATCTAACTAACAAAGTCAAAGAGAAGGTGTGAGAGCCGCCGTCTCTGATAACAGAAGCTACTGTAGGAGGCGAGTCTGTCAGTGCTGCTTGTGTTAACATGAGCAGATAGAAAAGCTGCTGTTGCGTTTCCACTCGCTGTCCCTGCCATCACTGCCAGTCGACTAAACGCATCACATGCAGAGAGTGAAGTGCTGAGCTTATTTTAAAGTAGCTGCGGGACTAACATCACTCTCGTTTCCTCCCGACTCGAGGTCATACCCAAAGACGTGCAGTGCAGCAGTGTGTTGCTGCTTTGTGCTTCCTCTCAGACTCACAAACTGTCGACCAGCATAGAAACCAAACATTAAACGTGTATCGTGTGTTTTCAGCAGCATTAAAGGCATTTACAGCACAGACACTGTGCATTTAAACACTTCCTGTTAACAGGTGGTGATGTCACAACATCAGAGTCAACATCCACATATTTTGTCCACGTTCAACACACGTTTAAACTAGCTTTGCAAACGAGACAGAAGCAAAGAACATGTGTTCAGTGTGTGTGTGTGTGTGTGTGTGTGTGTGTGTGTGTGTGTGTGTGTGTTAGAGAGCAAGCCAAGTGAAAGTCAGTGTTACTCTGCTCTTTAAAAACATCTCATCTTACAGCAGCACTAATGCGATCACACAGCCTGAACACGCCGAGTGCAATAGCTGCTGCAGTGTGTGCATGGCAGGGCTCTTAAACTAAAGGAATCTCAGGCAGCAGCTCCAGAGCTGTGCCAGCTGTGCTCATATTTAACACAGTGCTGTGCAGTTTCCAGTCCTTTGAGCGCCGGTCGGCTCCTCCTGCAGGTGGCGCTCACTGATAGCAGAGGTAGCTGGTGATGAGTTTAGGGACCTCCAGCTGGCCTATGACATTTAGAGCCCTGGTGCCGAGCTTCCTCCTCACTGCCAACCTGCTGAGCTGCTGCAGACTCAGAGGAGAGGCTGAACACGGGGAAAACATGTCAAATCTCTGTTCATAACACATGCAAATGATAATATGACATTTTTCACAAGAACAAAATGACGTGTCAGCCTCTAGAACACTGATTCACTGTGAGAGTAAAGCTGGAGAAGTGAAAGACAGCTGAGCAGCTGTGCATCAGAATGTTATGGCACATGTCAGGTGTCGTCTTTCTGACGCTTCGTGGAAGTGAAAATGATCCTCTCGTGCCTCCTGCTGGTGCTGCACACTCATGAAACTTACTCTCATAAGACTGTAGGCAGGCTGCAGAGGGAGAGCCCGGCGTGGTGTAGTCCACGGGTCTCCTCTCGTGTTGATCTCGAGCGTAGATGTTGGCTCCAAACTCCACCAGCATCTCGATCGTCTCCACCCGCATGCTTTTAGCAGCGTGGTGCAGCGGAGTCTCGTGCAGCCTGGCGGCGTTCACTTTAGCGCCTACGCAGAACAGAAACATTGAAGCCTGAAGGAAGACGTCGGTGTGGTTATTTAACACATCGTTGCACCGCGGCGGTTCGTGCCGCGCCTCAACACAAAGCTCAGTTTCTCAGGGGGGCAAACATTACTGATGGAGGTGCTTTTTGTTCTTTCTGGAGCATTTCTGTGATTGTGTGCCAATAATGTCTGAAGAACACTCGTGCTTTTACCAACAGCATGTTGGAAACCTCTCTCTGCTCCTCACACACCTGTGGCATCAGGACAAAAATCCTGTTGCCTCGTTCTCGTGTTCCCAAAGCGGAGCGTTCACACTCCCAGCGTGACCAGCAACAGTACCCACCATCCTTTTACGGCTCCGGGGTAAGGGGCTAAAAATGTGTTCTCATCTGCTCCTTATACCTGCTGGTCTACAGTTAGCACGCTGACTGTAAGGTAGCTTATACTGTGTTGTACTCTGTGTTTGATTCATCCTACTGTGCAGACCCTCACCTGCATTGAGCAGCTCTCTAACACAGTCCGTGTGCTCGTTAGCACAGGCCGCGTGCAGCGGGGTGCCGTGGTAAAGGTCATACGCCTCGAGACAAGCTCCCATGGAAATCAGCAGCTTCACACACTCAGAGTTTCCTGAAATACAAACATATATAAAATTAACTTTTATTTTCCAAAAACACAGACAAAAGCACAACACGCGACACTCTCACCTCCCATGCAGGCCTCGTGCAGGGGTGAGGCTGTGCGGGAGGTGAGGGCAGGGTTCGCCTTGGCACCGTACTGCAGCAGAAGCCTCACACACTCCAAACTCCCAGCTGAACAGGCATCACACAGCGGGGTACTTCCATCCACATTCCTTGCATCCACCTGACAGCATCATGGGGAACAGAGTGTTTTCTATCAAGCCATTTCTACTTGTTTGATCTACAGTTTGACCGACTGTAGATCACATTACTGCGCCTGTGACTCACCTGAGCTCCAGCCTCAAGCAGCAGCTGCACACACTTGGCCTGTCCGTGGAGGCACGCCTCGTGCAGCGGTGTGATGGAATCCACGGCCACCATGTTGACCGAGGCTCCGCCCTGAATGAGCTCCTCCAGTTGGGAGGCCTGGCCGAGCGACGCTGCCTTGTGCACCTCTGTTCGCTCCGCCCAGCAGCCTGCAGAGGAGCACGTCAGGAAGAACTGAAACCTCATCTCATTTACAGCAGCTGTTCTGCTGGGGTTTCTCAGTTTGCATGTTGCCTGTGGAACACCTATACACTCGCAGACCCGGGGCTGAACGCAGAGACGAACACACCAGGACAAACCTGGACAAACCTGGTGTGTCCTTAGGAATCTTGAAGGACTGTTTACAGAAATCAACATGCTGTAAAGGTTGCTTAATCTCTTCTAACAGTCATTTAAAAACCTCCCACTCATTCACCTCTACAGCTTCCAAAACACTTTGTGAAAGATTTCAACAGTTTCTACTGGAAAAATATCAGATTTGAGGTACTGGTCCCTACTGGGAGTGTCATTCCCTGCTGCTGTAAACCAGTGTGAGCCTGTGTCTTTGTCAGTGTTAAGTGAAGCGTACGTGTAGGTTCAATAAGGAAGCTCACATCCGTCTGCTCCCAGGTGTTGCCGGCTAAATCTAAACTTCACATCACTTCCACTTTCCCACGCTCTCAACCTGTTTGTGACATCACCATTCTAGTCCAATCATCTTTCTCTTGGCCTTCTTCGGGCCAATCAGCATTCACGGCGTGTACTTTAGATCTCACCGCGCATCTTTGGGAACCCCTGTTTTTCTGATGCTTGTAGCCGACACTCACAGTATCCTGTTATGAAGGCTCGAGCACTGTGGCCATTAAGGGAACTGCTCCACAGTGGTTTAAGTCTTACTTTATGAACAGGAGCTTCTCAGTCCAGATAGATGCTTCTTCCTCAGCTGCAGCACCTCTTACTTGTGGAGTTCCTCAAGGATCCATCCTAGGGCCACTCTTATTTTCCTTATATATGTTGGCTCTAGGGTCGATTTTTATTTGAAATATAATATCTCTTTACACTGCTTTGCTGATGACATTCATAAAAAAAGAAAAACAAGTCTTGGACGCAGCGTTTTCAGTGGGAGAAATGTTTCATCACTCATCCAAGTGACGTTGGATCCCAAAAGGTTGAACAGAATCAGCTTTTTGGGATTTACTTACCTGGATGTCTGAGCATGCATGAAGACAACTCTGTGAAACTGTTATCGGACTGTCTTGCTGATATAAAAGTCTGGATGAACTCAAACTTCCTCCACCTTAACAATAGCAAAATGGAGGTTATGGTATTTAGGAGATCTTTCCAAAACCATTCTTGAGCGCTTTGTTGTTCACTCCTCTGTCAGGTATCTTGGCATATTCTTTGACAGCTCCTTTAAATTCACAAAGCAAATAAGCTTTAAGCTTTATTCAGCTATGACTTCTTGCTAAGGTAAAGCTTTATTTTCTTCCTAAGGATTTTGACAGATTGAGCCACGTTTTTATATCAACTTGCTTACTGATTACTGCAGTTCCCTTTATGTTGGTGTCCTGGTGTATTTTGGTGTTTTTGCTCTATAAATAAAGTGGACATATATAAACATATATGGAATTAGTACTTTTCAAGCTTTGCTACCACTCGGTGACCACTGCGTGATGGTCAGTGTGTGTGTGTGTAATTCTAAGAGCCGCATTAACTTTTTCCTGTTTTTACTTAGCTTGCATCCACACCTGAGGCCAGGTTTGAGTTTCTTGGCACCCTTTGTACCAGGTCTGCCACTACTGCACATTCACCCAGTGCATATACTATATATAACAAAAAAAACACCCAGCACGCCCCTGCGGGCGGTTTATCCTTCAAGCTCGGGTCCTCTACCAGAGGCCTGGGAGCTTGAGGGTCCTGCGCAGTATCTTAGCTGTTCCCAGGACTGCGCTCTTCTGGACAGAGATCTCCGATGTTGTTCCCGGGATCTGCTGGAGCCACTCGCCTAGCTTGGGAATCACCGCACCTAGTGCTCCGATTACCACGGGGACCACCGTTACCTTCACCCTCCACATCCTCTCGAGCTCTTCTCTGAGCCCTTGGTATTTCTCCAGCTTCTCATGTTCCTTCTTCCTGATATTGCTGTCATTCGGAACCGCTACATCGATCACTACGGCCGTCTTCTTCTGTTTGTCTACCACCACTATGTCCGGTTGGTTAGCCACCACCATTTTGTCCGTCTGTATCTGGAAGTCCCACAGGATCTTAGCTCGGTCATTCTCCACCACCCTTGGGGGCATGTCCCATTTTGACCTCGGGACTTCCAGGTTATACTCGGCACAGATGTTCCTGTACACTATGCCGGCCACTTGGTTATGGCGTTCCATGTATGCCTTGCCTGCTAGCATCTTGCACCCTGCTGTTATGTGCTGGATTGTTTCTGGGGCATCTTTACACAGCCTGCACCTGGGGTCTTGCCTGGTGTGATAGACCCCAGCCTCTATGGATCTTGTGCTCAGAGCTTGTTCTTGTGCTGCCATGATTAGTGCCTATATATATATATATATATATATATATATATATATATATATATATATATATATATATATATAATGTTCTTCCTCTACACCCCCCCAATTTTTGCACATGTCGAGGAGCGTGTCAGGCTACATTTCACTGTGTGTTATACTTGTATAACTATGCATGTGACAAATAAAGAACCTTGAACCTTGTCTATTTGCTCTTTGTGGGGTGGCATGGACTTCCTCCCACAATCCATTTCATATACACACATACTGTGTGCCGGTGGCCTTCTGTCAGTGCAAGCTGCCTACTCAAATCTAAAAGTGGACGTAAATTAAAACATGCCAAAGGATGTTCATCGCATCCTCTACAGAGACAAAGTCAAATGCATGACTCGATGCGTGCTTAATCATCCAGGTAAGGAAAAAAGGTTGATTCTGTTCACCTGGACGTAGCGAGAAACGTTTCGTCATCATCCAGTGACGTCTTCAGTCCCAGCTGACTGCAGGTGTCCCCAACCTTATAAACGGGGCATTTACACGATGACTCCAACTGGCGCCACTGACCTAGAATACGCTAAAGGTCAAGACTGACCACTGATCAGTGATCAATGCTCTTTGATCAGTGGATGTGATCGATTGTAGTTTATGGTTCACGGCTCAGTGCGTGAGTTCAATAAGCAAGATTGTTTTCATTTTTTACCGCGTGCCACTGCTCGGTGTGTGCGCGTGCAGGCCCACGCAGGCCCATGTGGGCAGCGGCGAAGGTGTCTCTCACGTCATCGTCACGTTTTCCAGGTGAATAATTCTGTCTGTGTAATAACATGACAGCTGTCATTACCTGCTAGCTCCAGAACAAGGATTACGGCAGCCGGTGCCAGTCCTGCCGAGCTAACTCGGCCTCGATTACCGACCGTCTCGCTCTCGTACTCACCGATGTCGCCAAAGAAATAGGGCCGAGACTTTTCAGCGTCCATCCTCCGACTGCTTCCCCCGCAGAACAAGCTAGGCTGGCACGAAACGCGGGACTTACGGCTGTTTGTAAACAGCGTCCTCGCGCGCTACATGCGGCAGGAGTCACGTGACAAAACCCGACCTCCGCGGGCATGTTGGACTTTGTAGTTTTTACCCCAAATAACACCGTTTCACGCGTGGAGAGTGACTAACATTTATTCTAACTCAGGTTGAATAATATCCGAGCGGGGTGTAAACAGCCTGTCCTGAACAGAACGCCTGGTCACGATCAAATCTGTAATCTGGTGTTTAACACAGCAGCTCGTGTCGGAACCACAGAGTAGCTGCCCTGCACCCACTCACAATATCTTCTGTTGAGAGCTCCTGTAGATTTTCTCTGAACAGGCTTTGATCAGCTGAGCTGTACCTGCTGCTGCTCTGAGGTTTCACTGAAGTCAACAGTTTGTAACCCAATATTTGACACGCTGATTGGCTGATTTCCATTCCCCACACTGACAGTACACTGTTTGTGCTGTTTTCATACCAGATGGTATAAAGTTGGCATGAATTCAGTGGATTAATCAGCTACCCTCGATGCAATCTAATTCTGATCCCGAGCACCTCTGTGCACCAGTCGCACACTGTTCTTTACTCTAAATCCATCACAGTGCACCTCACTACCCTGTTTATCCTACACAAAACAACCGTAGCATCTCCTTTCATGTAGCATCTCCTGGTGACCAACACCCAAACAGGACAGCCATTCATCGATCGTCTCAGGAGCATCTTTACACAGCCTGGGGTCTTGCCTGGTGTGACAGACCCCAGCCTCTATGGATCGTGTGCTTAGTGCTTGTTCCTCTGCTGCCATGATTAGTGCCTCTGTTCAGTCGAGCTGTATCCAGCCACTGGTAGGACTTCTGGATGTCAGCCACTTCCTCTATCTGGAGATGCAGGGGCCTGTCCTTCCATGATGGTTCCTCCTCTTCCTCAGGTTTCTGCTGCCTGAGGTGTTCACTGAGCATGCAGTTGGTTATAGGCATCTTCCTGATGTATCTGTGGATGTTCGCTGTCTCATCCTGGACTGTGGTGCTGACACTCACCAGTCCCCGGGCTCCTTCCTTCTGCTTAGCATACAGCCAGTCAGGGTTCTGACTTGACCCTCCATGCATGGTCAGGAGCTTCCTCGTCTTGAGGTCACTGAATTTATCTCCTCCTTTGGCCAGCTTATTATCCCAGCAGGGTAAAATAACTTGACCTGAGTCACTGATGTGCTCTTGGAGTACTTTTGGTAGTCTGGCCAGTGTCGCGTAATGTGGAGTAGAGAGAGCTGACAGGCCCCTGGCCATCACAGCTGAGCCGATAAAGGAAATTGCCTTATGTGTTATACATGTGTTGGAAATTGTCAGAGTGCTGAAACAGAGCTTTATATAGATTATACGTGTTCTCATTCAGCAATGAATTGCTTTAATTTGACATACAGTGTTGAACTGACTCCGTACAGAGATTTTCATCCTGGTTACACGTGTTTCATCTGAATGGCAAACATTTTTCAGGGGGCATTTTAAACCTTGTACACTAAATGTTCATGTGTAAGTCTGTAGGGATATGGGACGATCACAGTACTGGAGGTAGCTGTTGATGCGGTGGGATATATTCAGCTGGCTCAGGACCTCCGATGCTCTGGTACCCAGCATCCTCCTCACAGCAATCCTGCAAAGCTGCTGCAGGCTCAAAGGATTACCTGTCAACAACAAATGTTTTAATAAGACGATCAGGCCTCAAAAGCAAAAAAAAGAGCAAGAACGTAAGAACTTGAATGTTTTTGCTGTAAGTCAGACACAACGCAGAACCTTACTTTCATAAAACCTGAGGCAGGTGTACGAGGGAGATGCAGGTGTTGTGTAGTCTATAGGCTTCCTTCCCAGGTTGTCGCTGGCGTACACATTGGCCCCAAACTCCACCAGCAGCTCAATCATTTCCACCATACTGACCCGAGCTGCGTGATGCAACGCCATTTCATGGAACTTCACTGAATTCACATTAGCACCTGCATAATTCACAATCATGTAAAGGTCTTAGTCCAAAGACATGCACAGGTTAAATGCTGTTAGCATGAGTGAACAGCTGTCTGCCTCAGCCCTGTGATCCAGAATGAACCCGCCCCTCACCCTCTGACAGCTTTGATTGGCTGCAGCACTCTCTGTAGGAAATAAAACAACCATACATTGCACCTTTAACACACCTGCAGTTAGCAGCTCCTTGACACAATTCAGATGTTCTTTAGCACATGCTATGTGAAGGGGAGGCCCAAAGTGGACGTCAAATGCCTCCAGCTTGGCACCGCTGGCTATCAGCAGTCTCACAACTTGGGGGTTACCTGAGAGGAATGTGAAGCGTTGTTCATAGGGAGACACGTGACAGCATGGCAGAGTGTTGTTCCTGCTGAAGGTTTACCTTGTATGCAGGCCTCGTGGAGCGGTGAGGCAGTGAGGGCTGTGAGGGACGGGTTCACCTTGGCTCCATAGTCCAGCAGCAGCTTGGCACATTCCAGGCTGCCAGCAGCACAAGCATTACAAAGAGGCGTGCTACCATGGATGGTGCGTACATCCACCTGGAACAAACAGAAGAACATTATCTAGCTATTCTTTAGGTAATCTACAAAATTGTAGGGCCATGTTAAGACCTGAACAACAAAGAGTAGTTATCGTTTGTGAGGCTGTCACAGAGGGAGTGCCTCTTGCTGCCCAGCAGTGGGATTCTGCACCAGAGAGCATCACTTTGTACCCGCTGTGTTAAGGTGCGCGACTCCCAGACTCTACACCGGCTTGTAGAGTGAAGCTGTGCCTCACCTGGGCTCCTGCCTCCAGCAGCAGGCGAGCACAGTTTGGATGAGCCTGGATGCAGGCTTCATGTAGAGGAGTGATGTTATCCACAGTCACCATGTTGACGGACGCTCCGTTTTCTATCAGCTGCTTCAACTGCAAAGTCCTGCCGTGGGATGCTGCTTCGTGCAGAGCAGTGCGGTCTGCCCAGAAGCCTCACACACACACACACACACACGAGCACAACAGCAAAGAGACCGTCCATTAACCAGTTCCATTATGCGTAAACCCAGTAACCACGGCAGCAGTACTGGGTGGAATAAGTCTATTCTGTCAGTATCCATCAGTGTCATGGCAAAGTGTCCATTACTAATATATGAACAAGGGCAATACTTAGACTATTACAGAAATAACGACGTCTTTTTGGCCTCATTCATCATGTTTAGCACATACGTCCATTAGTTCGAGTGTAGTCTTGTAAATGTCGCATTTGCTCCTCATTTACAGAGGAACTCCGAGCATGTCATCTAGCTCTAAGCCGGTTAGCTACCAAATGACTTGGTCTGTGCAGCGGCCGAACTTCCTCTGACGGGACTGTTATTCTCCGCCTACATTTCCCGGTTAAACCCGCTTTTGGCAGCGAACACACGGTGTTATAATCGGACGTTAGCCGTTCCTGTGGATGAGCTGAGGTGTAAACCGTTAACTGCTGACGATGCTTACCGATGTCGCACAGAAACGAGCGGCGGGCTGCCGTCACCTCCATGATTACAGGTTACCACACACGGCGCTCTACAGAGTCGAACGGAAAGCCACCGCGGCATTCTGGGAATTGTAGTAGCGAACCGAGGATTCTGCAGACTCATCCATTTCCTAGTTTGGTCACATGGAACTTTTCTTCTTAAAGCGAGTCAGTAATCATAGACTACCTACCTTTAAGGAGTTAAAGGCTCGTTTACAGTGATGCCAGCGAGGTGTGACGACTGCGGTGGGTGATCCGAGGCTACAGGGGTGCTTGGACAGCTTCAGCTTTCCTTCCGTCACCACGTTTGTCCCACAGATGCCTTCATAAGAAAGCAGACTTGCTGTGTGTCCAAGAAGCTCGTGTTTTAGTTTCTTCAGCTTGGCACGAATCATCAGCATGTGTTTGTGCGTTAGATCCATGGAAATGTGTTTTTACCTGATGACCCAGTATTACAAGTCTGAGCTTTCATCCATGATGATGCACTACCAAATGTTGTCAGGGTAAGGATGTGTAGAAGCAGACATTACAAAGCCTGCTGCATACTTGAAACTACTAAAATAAATAAATCTCACACAGCTTTGGATTTTGACAAAGTTTTTCTTTTTTTACTTTGCAGTACAGAAATCATTTGAGCCCCAAGATAATTTTGTTCTTCCTTTTTTAACAACAGTTGTTCAAAACCAGATATCACAAGGCTCCCATCAGTTCAATACTGCTGCAGTACACATTTGGTCCTTCTTAAGCAATTACATGTGTCATCAATCTGCTGTTAATGCTCGGGTCTTTGATTATTTTGGGTAATACAGGAACTAATACATTTTTCTCAGATGCATTATAGTAACTCAAAGTGTTGAAAACCGGTTCAGGAGGTTCATGTTGAGCTACAGTCGTGCCTGTGACTTACTGTATGCTGTCGCACAATCAGGGGATCAAACAAAGAAAGAAGACCTAGCCCATACACCACTAAAGCACTTTTACAAAACCGGACCATATGATGTGGATGCTGAGGTGCTGCCTCGCACGGCGCTCTGCTGTTACCGGCCTGAAAGTGCAGGAACTGCCACATCCTGTGAGGAACACTCAGCTCAACACACCACAACTGAATACAGACACACGATGCCAAGCCACAACTCACAGAACCTGACACGAAAAGAACACCTGCATATACAAAATATCAGCCGAGTATATAGTGTACATCTTTTCCAGATACTATTGATTATGAATCGTTTCATTTGGCATCTTTGGACTACGCATCGTCTTAGCATGATGAATTAGAAAAATGTAGGGTATTAACTGTCTATTAGATATAACCAGTATTTAGTGCAACACCCACCTGAATGATGTGAAGAAGCATAGCGCTCTCCCTGAACCCTATCCAACAAAACTATACCGCCTCTCTCTATGCATCATCAACTTCTTCAGTGGGCAAACTGTGTACTCGAGTAATCAGTCAGCCCACTGGTCTTTACTTTTTTGTGTAAGTTTTCTATTTTTTATAAGATTTCCGTTGTCTTTGATTATCAGAGTGTTGCAGGACTGGCTGCCTCTACGAATCATCGTCACCAAAGGTGTCTTTCTTCTTGCGCTCCATCTCAGCAAAGTCAAACTCTGAGCCTGTCATCCTCTTGTAGATGTCCTTGATGTCATCACAGGTGGTCTCAAAGTGAGTTGTTGCATCGTAGGACCGAGAGATGAAGATCTAGAGGGAAACAAAAGTCCAAGTGTGCCTTAACGTCACAGAGCAAACATCGTGAAATAAGCAAAACAATCATCCATACAAAGTAGAAGCAACAACAGAGCAAAGTCTCCAAGAACTAAAAGAAGTCCAATCAAAGCGCCCGAGATGTTCAACTGTAACTGTTCACCAGGTGGCAGTAAGAGCACGCAGTGCGTTCTTTCATGTCAACTACGCACACTACAAATCATTAGTTACAAAAGTATCCTCCTTTTATTTCTGTGGTCACAGAGGAGCTTTCAATGGCTTTGTAAACCTTTGTGGGCGGAGCTGATCGAGCACGTTGTGTGTGCCTCGTGTAAAAACCCAGCATTAGAGTAAAGAAACTGCAGTGCACACAGATATATGGCAGAACTTTGCAGTCATGTCCAGGACATTTAATAACAATATCTGCCGACTGGTTTTTAGCCTTGTAGGCAGATTTACAAGCTAAAGCTAACGACAGAAGGATAACATGCAGTTGTTGAAGATGTGCACTCTGACAAATCAGCTCAACTGCACAGAGATTAAACCAAGTCTGCCTTTATCATGTGATAAATACGGCCATGTGCTAGTCACACATCTATAAGACACCAACGCTGTGTGCTTCATTAACTGCATCGCTGACTTTAGCCATGTTAAACATGCCATTCAGATCCAAGCTGGAAACTGACAGAAACAGACTTCAGCCCAGTCTGGATCTGACACCATTTTTTTAACACTTCTAGTCAGGTTTAACTGTGACATCAACTCCCACTGTGTTAGCACTGAGATTTAAACATTCACAACAAAAAAACATCTCCACAAGTTCAGAGATTGATATACTTGATGGGAAATACAGATGAAGATGAGGGATACGGACACATGCATGAAAAATCCTAGAATGACACGTTTTTCCTCTGTGGGTATTTGGCAATAATAGCAATACTGGGAAGTGTACGGTCGGAGGTCAAACTGAAGAAAACACCAGCACACAGAAAAATGGTGTGAAAGCACACAAAACACTGGAAAAAGGCAAAAAACTCAACAGAAGTGTTTCTGGCAGGGCTAACTTTCTGGTAGGTCACCGTGGCACGGTCAAGAACAAACTGTGTAATAGTATAAACAATATTTCATCTTCATACCTGACTTTCAGTCCCAATGTCAGTGGGTGCATACTGGTCGCTAATGCTGACAAACTTCTGCTCGATGGGCTCCAGTAAGTCCAGGGCTGGCTTGATCTCCTTCTCTGGCTCACCCGTCTCCACTGTGGTGCTAACGATGGCGATGTATTTACCCTGCGCAGCCACATTGTGTGCAAAGGAGATCATACAAACATAGATGTCTGCAAAAGAAAAACTCAAGTTAGTGTCACATTCAATGTTGTCATTTAGTGCCAGTGGCCAACGTTTTGATGTTAGACATTTGAAACCCTGCATCAGATCTGAGCCTTAAGTAAAACCTGACATGCATCTCGAGAACGTGACTGCACATCGGGTGGATGCTTGGTGTGGAAGGTTGGGGTGTGGGGATGAAAGGATTTTCACTTACTACGCAAGTTAGGACGTTAAGGTCTGACTATACAAGCACACTATACAGCTGACTGAAAATTTGATCCTAAAGGCCTAAACATGAGGCTGGCTGCTCACCGTGTTTCCTGTTGACCTGATTCTGGGGGATGATGATCTGGCACGAGTTTACGTCGCCAGTGTTGGCTATAGGATGACTCAAGATGCAGATGGCTCTGATCACCTGACCCACTTTGGTGACACGATCCATAATGTAGCTGGGGTCGCAGATCAGCTGCTTGCACCTTGCAATCTGTGATTTGCAAACATGTTCAAAAAGTTAAAGTAGTGAACAACACCAAAGAGCAACTGCAGGGACATTAAGATTATAAAACGCCATTAATCCAGGTGGCCACCAATCACTGTCACTGCGATTCTCCATCAGAGCAAAACATGGTAAATGGTCTGTATTTGTATAGCGCTTTACACATCCACCCATCCACACACTGGTGATGGCAGCTACATTGTACCCACAGCTGGGGCGCACTGACAGAGGCGAGGCTGCCGGACACTGGCGCCACCGGGCCCTCTGACCACCACCAGTAGGCAACGGGTGAAGTGTCTCGCCCAAGGACACAACGACCGAGACTGTCGGAGCCGGGGCTCGAACCGGCAACCTTCCGATTACAAGACGAGCTGCCAGCTGTTGAGCCACGATCGTCCCTGAGACAGTCTTTGCAGATGCTGGTTCTAATACAGCGCTTTTCTACTCTTAAGGATAGGGGAACATAATAAAAGGAGGAACCAGTCTGGCTGTGCCTTCAGCACTACTGGGACCGGCGTTACTCACCTCCCCCTCCGACTTGACTCCCACCACCTTCCCATTCTCCATCACAATCTCTTCTATTGGCTTGTTCAGCATGTACGTCCCACCGTAGATGGCGCTAAGCCTGGAAATTGAGTCACAATTCAAGAGTCAAAACCACACCCAACCTCAATGTAACAAAGTCCAGTTAAAGAAAACGTCCTCAAACAAAAAGTCCAACATATCAAGTTCCATGTGGATTATTAGTCATCGCAATATATTCTGAAGCAGCCTGACAGTCGTGCACTCAAACAAAGTATTGAAAAATATAAAAAGTTGTCTTCAAATAAAAATGCTTACTTAAAAAATAAAATAACAATGAAAATGTGTAGTTTGAGTTTCCTCCTTAACTCAAGCTCACATGTAAACCAGCATCTCAGCTTTAACTCTACTGTGGTCTCCTCACAGAGTTTGGTTTGCACACGTGCTCTGAATGAAGGATTTGACTGAGTGTCGTCACATTGGATGAGTTACAAATGGTAAATGGCCTGTATTTGTAAAGCGCTTTACTAGTCCCTAAGGACCTCAAAGCACTTTACACATTCACACACTGGAAGTCTGTGACCGGGCTGTGTGCATACAATAACTGCTGCAAAGAGAAAGGCTGCGTATATTACAATATATCAAAGTTAGAGTAAAAACAAGTGCTCTGTTTAAACCTAGGACTGGTGAACTAGGATCTAATCTGCCAAACTGCCAGATTGAAAACGTGGTGCCACCTGCTGTGCCAACCCCCCTGTGAATAAGGGAGCAACCTATACTGTAGCTTATTAAACTTTCAGAACTCACTGCAGGAAGGTAAATGAAACCAAAACCTACAAACAGTGTGACAACTTTGTTAGGGTAGATATCAGACTACGAAGCAGAATATCCAACCCTAAACCACAGTTAACATCTTTTTGGTACAAACAAAATATTCATCACACGTGTCTAACAATGGAAAGTGTCCCCTACCTGGCAAAGCCTTGTGGCAGTTCTCCCAGGCCGTACAGTGGGTACAGATATGGGCTCTTGCCATATCGGGCCAGAGACTCACTGTAAAGCTTTATCCTGTTGATTGCTTCCATGCAGGGTTGATCCAGGTAACTAAGGGCAGAACAATTAGAACAATCTAAATGCTACAAGCTGCAGCGTTTCACAGCAGAGGCCATCATAATCATGCCCAATTACAGACACTGTTAAGACAAAAGAAGGCTACTAACTCATCTGTACGGTAGAGAGCAAGGGAGTGACCGGTGAAGTCCATGACTTCCTGGCCCAGGTCAAACTTCTTGTATATTTCCCTCATCGTCGTCTTCTTTGGGTCGACACCCTCCATAGTCTTGGGGTCATTCTCATCAAAGTTGGCAACAAAGACCAGGAACTTTCTGAAGCGCCGCTTCTCAAACAGCCCCATCAGACCTTTGAGTGAGAACGAGTTTA